CAGCCTTTTCTGTCCATGGGATTCTCCAGGCAAGAATAATGGAGTGGGTGGCCAAGGTTTCCACCTGGGGATCTTTCCAACCCAGGGATCAAACTCGAGTTTCCTGCAGCTCCTTCATTGCAGGTGGATTCTTTACCACTGAGTCATTGGTGAAGCCCCTAAATTACTATAGGTTGTGTTATTTCTATTTACAGACTGGAGAAATTAATAGTAATGTGACCTCAGTCATCTGGCCATATTGTGAAGAGTACTGAAGCTTCAGGAATGGTTCTTCTAAAGACACAGTTTACAAAGAACTGTAACATCCTCTCTGCTATCATTAGTGTATCTGTCAGAATAATCCTAGGGACTTAACATAAGACCAGTTTATTTCTTCTTCACACTACATATCTGTTATTTGTTGGTACTGGAGGCCTTTGCTAAGAGTGGTCCAGGGATCCAGGCTGAGAGAGCAGCAAACCAAAATTTCAAACATTATCAATCATGGAGCCACAAGAGAGAAGTCGAGAGGATGTTGCACTGACACAATCATATGCTCAGATATTCCTCACTCACTCATAACTCTTTGGCCTCACCCTGCACAGGAATATCAGACATGCATCTCTACTTTATAACAGGAAGGCAGAAACCTGGAACATTTTGGTGAACAATATTAATGACCACCCCAATCACGAAGCAGAATTCTAGGAGCTGCGGAGCACACATTTAGCAATACCACATCGCTCCCTTTTACATCTCCCTGCAAAACACAGGCAGCTCCACACTACAACGGGTAAATACTCAAATGACTTCTAGTACCCAAAGAAGTGCTTGCACATCTACAGGTATATCCTCCACAGAGAAGAGAGCAGACTGTTTGAAATACATAGCCAAAAAAAATCCGCTCACATCTTGGATGAAAAAAGCTAAATTTTACCACAAGAGCCTCCCAGCATCAGGAGTGCATTACTTACATTTTCTTGGCAGTATAAAGAACTAGAAAAGTATAATCCAAGCAGGCATTGGTTGGAGTACATTATTTATGTCCAGTAATAACCTATAAGATAGATGATCAACTAAAACATGCTATAAATATTACATTTAAATTATACATCAGTTTGATCAGCAATATCCATAAATTATGTATAGTGTTGAATAACAAGTATGACTTTAAAGCTTTGTTCAGAAAAACTCTCATTTCTGGGTTAGACACGAAAGCCTATGGCAGTCAGCATCATCTCCAGGAAAACCAAAGTGAAAGACTAACAAAGGAAGTAGGAGAAAGGTGTCCTGAAACAGTGAGCCATGACCACAGTTACATCACTGCTCTAGCAGAGATAAACCAAGGACTTCTCAGGTGGCTCAGGGGTAAAGAAACCAGCCAATGCAGGAGAAGTAGGAGATGCAGGTTTGATCCCTAAGTGAAGAAGATCTCCTGGAGGAAGAAATGGCAACCCACTCCAATATTCTTGCTTGGAAAATCCCACGGACAGAGGAGCCTGGAGGGCCATAGTCCATGGGGTCGCAAAGAGTCAGACACGACTGAGTGACTAAGCATGTACACAGAAATAAACCAACAAAACTCTGATGTCTCAAGTTGAAAAAACATAGTCAGTGCTTCTCTCTCCCTCTCTCTGTCTGCCTCTGAGACGCACGTCAGACTCATCTGGGAGACTTGGCTTTCATCCAAAAGCTTCTAAGCTAAGTGACCCAGTAGAATACAGTGCTGGCACTGCTGTGTTTTGGCTGCTGCTACTTTTGTTGTTGTTATCACTTTATAAAGCCTTCTAATGCAAAGCCAGGCTTAAGAAATGCTAAACCAAGTCATGTAGTCTATGGAGCAAAAGAAAAAACTTGCAAATAATGGGTTCGGCAGACATGGACCTACTAAATATAAAAGAAGAAACATTTGTGCTAATTGGGGAAAGGATTGTACTCCATGCATTAACTCTAATAGTTATCTAGCACATGCCATGTCTATTTTCTCTGAGTAATTGCCAGAGTGACATGAATTCTGAATATATACCATAAGGGAATCAATGTTTTTTTAAAAAGGGGAAGGGAATTTCACCCATCTTTATATTACTGATTTTCTAGTAAATGAAAAAATAAAATGTATGAGTAAACTAACATAAGTTACAAATACAAAATCTGAATATAGCCTTCAACTTTTTTCTAAAATGTATCCCAGTATATCAATGAGTAATTTTATTTAATGGGGAAAAGTTTATCAACCATACATTCATATACATATTCATTCACAGTGACAGAGCTCTGTTGTGCTTTCAACAATGAAATTAATGTCAGTGGTCCCATAAACATATCAACTTTTAGTGACTACCAAAAAAAAATGCAAAAGCCTAGACAAACATGAAGTAAAGGAGAATAGTTAACATTTTCAGAATCTAAACTGAAAAAATATTTTATTTTCTCATAAATGCATATAATGTCTTTCTAGAAGAGTTTATTCCTCTCCCACCATAAAACACACACAAGATAGATACAATCCACAGTAAGTGAAAACTCTGAAATAGTATTTAATCACTTGTTAAACTAAGCTTATACAAATAAAGAGAAATTAATATTGAAATAATATATGAAGTAAGATGTAGTCAGTTTGAGCAATGAGAGAGATACATGCTTATCATTGTCTGCTTTTAGAAAAGGAGATGATATGGTAAGTGTAACATGCAACCATTCTCCTTTTCTACAAAAATCATGAAGAAGGTCTATATTGTCTAATACATGTTATTTTCATGTAAGTGATATTTTTATGGGGGCACGAGTGTGAATTTAGTATCTGGATCAATGTAGTACAGTGCAGAGACAGTATCTGGGGAGGAAGGGGCCCCAGTGAAGAGAAGACATAATGTATTAAATTCCTGGGAAGTTGAGGCAACTGAAATGCAGGTTGGAATCAGTACTATCTCCATCTCCAAGGAACAGGGATATCTCAGTCACCCCTGGGTATTACATAGTTTGATGTTATACATTTTCAAATGATTTCTTATATGGATGACTTTTGACCATTTTCCTATCATGGTTGTCAGCATTTCCTGAGCTGACTGACCTCTTTCCTTTCTGCTCCCTGATTTTTCATTGGAATAATGAGGTGTCAGTCATCTGTGAGTCTCCTTCCTGGCAAGTGGAAATCCTTAGGTAGCCAGGAGTAGGGGATTGAGCACATCAGGACAGCCAGGCATGTGCCAACTGAGGTAAAGGGAAACTAAAATTTCAGTCTTGAAAGAAGAGACACACAGAAGAAGGCATTCTCATTTTATCAGCTCCAAGAAAGGAAGGGAAAAAGAAGGCACAAACAAGAAGAGTGTAAGAGATAAGAGCCTATAGGTAGGTACTGTGAATCACAGCAGAGGCAAGAGCCTTCCCAGAGTCCATGGGTATGCAGGGAGTTATTCACCCAGGTACCAGCCAACTGCGGGAGTGGTGGACAGAGACATGAAACAAATGCTTTATTTTTTCTGTTGTGATTCTTGCTTTAGGAACCTGTTTAATTTAAGCACCGTAAATTCCTGGTATTTGCAAAAGTTTCCAAGTTTGCTTTAATGTTTTCAGACCTTATTCTTGACTTTAGTTTTGTTTTCAGACCTTATTCTTGAGTTTTCAGGCCTTATTCTTGAGTTTAGTTTTGTTTTGCAGCAGATTTTTCCCTTGTCCCAAGGACCAACAGTATGCTCACTGGAATCAGACTACTTAAATTGATCCTGACAGAACTCAAATCCTGAGAGTAACACTAGTTCAGACAACGAAAAATACACATTGATTTTTTAAAATTTATTAATTTTTTTAATGAAGGTTAGCTGCTTTACAGAATTTTGTGGTTTTCTGTCTACACTTTGATTTTTTACAGATGTTTAAATTTAACTTTTTAAGAATGCTCTGCTCTTTATCACACTTGTCAAACAGCTGGGACTCTGAGGTCTGCTCCACGAGAAGCTGGGTGGTTCCTGTGGCTTTTAGAAAAGGGGAGGGGCACAGAGGGAGAACCTTCCCCTCTGTCTCCCGAGGGTGTCAGAAGTGCCCAGGCAACGCGTGAGCGGAGAGGTGCCTCCTACCAACACGACTGGCTCACAGCCACCGAAAAGGAATGCATGTGATGTTATTCCACACAAACATCCCACTGAATCAGCCTTCCCTACCCACTGCTTCCAAGCTGAATGGAACAAAGATACAGCATGGCCAGAGATTCAGTTAAGTCCATCGGCAAGTACCTCAGATTTCCACAGAGTTACTTATACTGCGGATTAAATGGCGTGTCTTAAATGTACATACATTTATATGTATATCTGAATATATATATATACTTCTCACTCTACAATAGGAACCATCCAAATTGAGTCAAAGGCATTCACACTTTTGACATCTACTTTTTAATCAGATTTCTAATGAAAGCATAGTTTGCAGATGAAAAGTTTCAGTATTAGAATACAGATATAGATAATTGAATTAATTTATAACAACTAAACCAAACCCATGAAAATAGGTTCAATTCACTTACTCTCATCAACTTGAGAATTCAGTCTATTCATTAATTGTAGACTGTGATTTAAAAAGTTTAAAAAGAATAAAAAAATACTGGAGGAGTTAGTATAATGAAATATTCTGTTTGAAATTTGAAAAAATCTGGTTGCATTCCATAATTAATCTTTCCTGTGAGCTAGGGCTATAACTTAAGAGTTTTCTCGAGAGAACTAAAATATTATTGAATGATAATCTTAAAACTATTTCAAAAGGCAATTATGGAGAGTGCTCTGTTGATTAATACTATATAGCCATTAGAGAAATAAAATTTAAAACTACCTCATGGCTATTTTTATATCCATACTTTCTTTGAAAAGGCTGTTTTAAAAATACCAATATTTGAGTTTAAACAAATAATACATACTATTTTGTTCATATAAACATAAAAGTAAAAAACTATATATCTTGTAGAATATGAGAGAAAATAGTTATCATTAAAAACAAGTGGAACAAGAACAAAGTTTTGACATTAGTGTACCCACCTTTAATGTGATACTATAATGTCCAACAAATGCCGCATCTATCCATGATCTCGAACGGGGATCACCCAGGAATTCTACGTGATATTTTTCAACATCTCCATCCAGATCATAGGTCACATACTTCCCTTTAAAAGGGTCAGGGCAAAGTATCCCTGGCCAACTTTCAAAAGAAAATATTTTTAATTATTTTCATGTTTTAAAAAAGGTAGACATTAATACATCTATCACAAACATCTGTCAAACTGCCTCCTTTGAATTTTAATAACTTTTTTACAAATTTTAAAGACATTCATATTTTAGTCTTTTAAGTAGAATATTCAATTGATACAAGTAATCAGTTGTATCTCTGTAAATATAGAAAGTTTTGAAACAGTCACATGCTGAAGATATTCATAAGATGTGAGAAGAAAGAATCATGAGACAAAAGAATGATTTCCAGGGTCTATAAGAGACATTTAGGCACTGCTAACAGGAAAGTTAAGAGAAAAAAAGTCACCAGATTCATGGCAGGCTTGAATCAACTCTCACCAATTGTAATTATTAACTACTAAAATGTTAACCCACTGATTTGGTAGGAGAGAGCTAGCGATCTGTGAACCAGGATGCCAAAAGGGACTGGTAACTCAGGCTGTGCTGACACTGGATGCTGTAGTGACTTTGGGAAAAGCAGAAACAAAAGCAGCAGTTCTGCTTTTATCCTCCTCACCACATCTGTTCCATTGGCAGTGACCGAATGGTAAATATCCTCAATACTGCAAATACTAGAGTGGGCAGTCATTCCCTTCTCCAGGGGATCTTCCCACCCCAGGGATCAAACTGAGGTCTCCCACACTGCAGGAGGGTTCTTTACCACCTGAGCCACCAGGAAAGACTGCAAATAACATTATCCTTCACTAAAAACAAGTCTTTAGGGGTGTGTTCTTTCATGACACAACCTCCAGAAACTCCTTGATATGTTTCAGTTTCCCACTTGGCAAAAACAGCATATGCATCCACTAAGTTTTAGCCTTTTTTTTTTACCAATCACAGAAGACTCTGACCTACTGCTCAAAGAATTAAGAAGGAAGATCAGGAAGCTGTGATTAAGGAATGCATGTGTGTGTGCTCAGTCACTTCAATTGTGTCTGATTCTTTGCAACCCCATGACTGTAGCTCGCCAGGCTCCCCTGTCCATGGAATTCTCTAGGCAAGAATGTGTAGCCTTTCCATTCAAGGGATCTTCCCAACCCAGGGATCGAACCCATGTCTCCTGTGGCTGCTGAAATGCAGGCGGATTCTTCACTGCTGAACCACTGGGGAAGCCCGGGACTAAGGGGTGCACAGTAGCAATCTGACTAAATTTTACAGATCAAGATTCAAAATATGCATGGCTAACACGCCCGAGCATGCAAAAGCTGTACAGTTATCAAGTTCTACTTCAGTTCGCAGTACTGCAGAGCGAGAAAGGCAGTGGAGTTCAAGTTAGAAGGCCCAGTTTCTTGTTCTGCCTTGCACAAGACATGAGGCCGCTAGCAGGTAACGAGGCCTTACTGTCACTCTGGGTCCTCACTGTGCTGTTTCAAAGTTCAAAGGAACATACACTTCACACATTTGGGGTTTTGGCAAATTAAAATATTATAAAGTACCATCGTTATGGACTGAATTGTGTCATCCTACCAACCCAATGGCAATCCACTCCAGTATTCTTGCCTGAAAAACCCCACTGATGAAGGAGCCTGGTGGGCTACAGTCCACGGGGTCACAAAGAGTCAGACACAACTGTGTGACCTGACTTTTCCTTTCACCAACCCAAATTCATATGTCAAAGTCCTGACTCCAAGTATTTCAGAATGTGACTCTATTTAGAGACAGGGTCTAGTAACCAAGTTAAAAGGCAGGCCCTAATCCAACATGACTAGTTTCCTTATAAAAAAGGTTAGGATCTAGACACATACAGAGGAAAGACCACAAGAAGACAAAAAGAGAGACTCGCCCACAAGCCAAGAGAAGCCTCAGAAGAAATAAACCCTGCTGACACCCTGATCTCAGACTTTTAGCCCCTGGAATTGTGAGAAAATAAGGGTTAGAGAATGAAAGGGCCTGGATAGCTCAAGTGGTAAAGAATCTTCTGCCTTGCAATGCAGGAGATGTGGGTTTGATCCCCAGGTTGGGAAGATCCCTTGGAGAAGGAAATGGCAACCCAGTCCAGTATTCTGGCCTGGGAAATTCCATGGAGGGAGGAGCCTGGCGGGCTACAGCTAACAGGGTTGCGAAGAGTTGGACATGTCTGAGAATGCATGGACATGACAGAGAATGAAAAACTGAGTCCAACAACCTGACATCCAAAGAAGTCAAATACTTGGGAAGAAGTGGAAATGATAATGGAAAGTCAAGTGAGAGTTCAGAACCTAAATGAAGAGGACCATCTGGTTGTTACCAGACTCACATCACAGCATCTTACTGGTATTTGGCAACTCGTACTGGACTGAGCTTAAGAGTTAAACTTGAGTTCAATTTATATTTTAAACCTATTTTGGAAACCTACATTTCTGAAGGAATCCACTCAAAAGAAGACTTCAACAGGTAGATAAATGACTAAGAATGAGTGGCAGCTGCAATGGAGACACCCAACTTACAAGAAATCAAGGAACAAGTGTGTCCTTCAACATGATTAATAACTATTTTAAAGGCAACCCAACTGTGATTGTTACATTCTATTTGTTTAAACTCTTTATAAAATATAAGGGGTTCATGTTTAATATTAGGTGATTTGCACCTCACTGAAATTTTAAAAAGGATTACTACCAACTCAATACCAAATTATAAGCAGTACCTACTCCATTCAGTTTAAAACAGTCTCAGAAAATGGATATCTGATATTTAACACACGAAAGAAATATTTGGCAGTTTTTATGTGTTAGATGAGCTGCTACTTTTCTGACACAAATTCTGATACTATTATTTAAGTGAAACCTATTGGGTCCAAGAGTATTCAACTTAATTACTCTATAAAATATAAAGAGATGAGTCCTAAAAAGAATTAGATGCCAACAGAAAAGCTTCTGTTCATTATTTGAAGTATATTACAGAAAATGCTGCATACTGATTTGAAGATGAATTATGAAAAGCATTATCAAATGTCCAAATAACTTGGGCACTTTCAGGTGATGCAAAGGAATTATCTGACTCCAAGTTTGCATATCTCAGCTAAAACAGAATGTGCCGAACTGCAGGGAAAGCTGAGCAGAGGCAATAGATGTAGAAAACATGATTACTTCTCTCCAGCTGCGACATCCATCATCTGCTCTGATTTGCTGTAACTGAAGAAAGAAGTTGATGTCCAGTTTCACCCTCACTCTGACCTCAATCTGAGTTCCCAAACTGTCAATGTTGATAATGCACTGTGCATTTCTACTTCCTGATTTTTCATGTTCATATTGAGAAGAAATTCTGAAGTGCTGTGTGGGGGCTGAAAGGTGGACAGGGAAAGTAAGAGTCAACAACCCAAGGGAAGGATATCAGAATTACAAGGAAAAATGTACAGTCAATCTTAGAGCCTGTGGGCGGTGGAAGGTAAAATGTACAAACGCAGCAAGGTCAAACGGACATTGGGTATTGAAATCCACTTGCAGCAGGAAGTTGGAAACTTAGGCAGCACAAGAAATTTCAAAGGAACAGAAAATATATCACAAAGAAACTGATGTTTTATACTTTCTTTATCCAGTGGAAATGATCTAAGATAGCTACTGCCTGCAACAGAAGTTGAAGCTTAAGCATGATATCGGCTGCCATATATTTATAACCAATGAGAAGAAATAAATACATTTTTAAAACTGTAGTCTGGATGTTTAAGGAGATAGCAAATTTTACTTGAGCTTCATCCTTAATCTATAGGAAACAAAATGGATGAGTTGGAATCATCACTAACTTACTGTTATATTTGCCAAGAAATCTCTTTGCTGTACCTAACAGCAGGGACCAATGGAAAAAGGAAATTTCTCATCTCTACACATACACACACATATTTACATACAAAAGTATGTAAGTATGCAAATAAGAAGTAATCAAATAATATTTTATAATACTGTTAATAAAAAGATGTAGTAGAGATCTCATTTGTGAATGAATACATGTGTGTGTGCTAAGTTGCTTCAGTCATGTCAGACTCTGTGGACTGTAGTCCACCAGGCTTCTCTGTCCATGGGATTCTCCAGGCAAGAATCCTGGAGTGGGTTGCTGTGCCCTCCTCCAGGGGATCTTCCCCACCCAGGGATCAAACTCAGGTTTCTTACCACTCCTGCACTGGCAGGAAGGTTCTTTACCACTAGCACCACCTGGGAAGCCCTAAATATATATATTATATCTAAAAAGTAACACTGGATTGGCTTGCTAACTTACAGACAGAGTTGAACTGTTTGGCCCATAGTATTTAGAATGCAAATATATTTTTTTTAATTTTCATATTTATGAGGAATCTTTGCAAAACATCTGTGTAAAATGGCTAGCTTCTGCTTGACATTGTATTTTCCTATACTGAGATATGAAGATCTTTTTTACCTTTAAATTCTTTGCTCTTTCTAAGACTTCTTAAACATTATAGCTTTCTCTTCCTAGCAATGAAGACAGCCCCATCCTCAAGCTCAAATGGGCATAACTCAAAGGCAAGAGACTGCATAAGTATTTTTATAAGTGTGTGTTATTTTATGATGTGGTGACAAATATGACTACTATAATTAGATTTTTCATGGAGCTTGACCACAAAGAAAGTGATATTCTCTTAACTATTATTTGCTTTTATTATACAGTGATTAAGCAGGCATTTCTTGATTCTGTATCAATTTCTGTTTAGCTTTTTTAGTTTTATAGGAGAATGTGAACTCTTCTGAGAAGATGTTGATAAGACTGAGTTCTGAGCCCTCAGTTAGCAGTAAGGGCAAAGGCTAGTAACTCACACACGTTAAAGCTACACTGCCAAGTGTCTCTGCAGTCAGTTGACTGGTCTTCCCATTTGAAATTTCAGTATCGATATTTCCTAATTAAGGACTGATGTTTGGCTGCTTTTAGTAGGTTAATCCAGTTTTATATTCTACTACTGCAATTTATCCTGTTATCATCTTTCTATGTATTTGTGGTACTGAATAAGCAATAAAGCAATAGATTTGAGTTTCTTAGTCTGTACTTTAAGTCTGTGTTCATTTGTAGTTAGTTTATAAAGAAGAATTTATGTGACTACATAGCAAAATGTATTTTACTCTTTCCAGTAAGCAAGAAGGTGAGTACAGCTGTATTTTGCAGCATTTTTATGGTCTTAATCACAGATTAGAGGTAATTTAGGGACTGGAGTAAAACATGCTTCATTCGTATTTCAAACTCTAACCCTCAGTTATAAGCACAAAACTGCAAAAGAAATTCCTAATCAAATTTCTAATGTAATATTTCAGACATAGTGACAAGATTCAAATCTGTCTCTTGAATTAGAATTACTGAACCTTCAGAATTTCCATTAGTAAATATAAATGTTCTGCTTTCAAAATGTTAGAGATATGAAAAATAGCATGGGACTACAAATACCTTCATAAGTAACTTCAAAAATAAGTGCTCATACTCACGCCTTTAAAAACATTTGTTCTTACTCTAGTTCTTCTTCAAGCCCATCCTATTATTAAATGGGTTTCCCTTGTGACTTAGTGGTAAAAAAAACTTGCCTGCCAATGCAAGAGATGCAGATTCAGTCTCTGGGTCAGGAAGAGCCCCTGGAGAATGAAATGGCAACCCACTCCAGTATTGTTGCCTGGAAAATCCCATGGACATAGGACCCTAGCGGGCTACAGTCCATGGGGTCACAAAGAGTTGGACATGACTTAGCAACTAAACAACAACAATTATATATGTATAAATTATATATATCAATTAATATATGTGCATATCAATTAACATATATGTATTTTTAAACAATATTTCACATTTGATCCCTAGAAAAATGTTCAGTAACAAAAGGTACATATTTGAGAGATTTCCATATCTGCAAAGATATTAAGTATATTGGTTTGCTAAGGCTGCCATAGAAAAATATCACAGACTGGGGAGCTTACAAACAGAAATTTATTCTCCCACGGTCTTATAGGCTAGAAGTCCCAGATCAAATTATCAGCGGGGCTGGTTTTCCTGGAGGCCTCTCCCGGGGTTGCAGATGCTGTCTTCACACAGGCTGGCCTCTGCACACGGCCCTGGTTGTCCACTGTGTGCTCAAAGTTTCTCTTCTTACAGGAACACCAGTCAGACTGGATGGGGGCCTGTTTTAACTTAACCACCTCTTTAAAGGCTCTCATATCAAATACAGTCTCATTGTGAACCTAGAGATTTAACATATGACCTTTGGGGGGAACATCAAATCAGTCCGTAACAGGAAGTGATAGAGCAACAGCACATATCTAGGTATTGACTTGAAGACCTCTTGTATGTGTTCTGTGTTGTGTGTTAGATGAACCCATCACAGTCTCCCCAGGAAAGCAAACATCTAATATTTTTCATGGTGAATAGCTTAATATAAATGAAAACAAGGTGATGAGACAAAAGGAAGATTTGAATAGAGAAGGGGCAAAACTCTTGAAAGAAATTTTAAAATTGTCAATAAAGACTGAACTAGAAGAACACAAGAACTGGTAACTCCTTCAGAAAAATAACACATGGAAAGGGAAAATCCGTAAATTTAAAGACGAAAACTCCTGAAGAAAAAGTAATACCAGAGCTAACCAGAGAAGATTCACCATCAGTACCACAGGAATCCAAAAATAAAATCAAAGCAATGCAACAATAAACTGATTATAATTTAAGAAAAACATAATGAGATGAAAAGACTTGAAACTATATACTGAAAATGCATGCTGCATACTAGAGAAATCAACCCAGAATGGGAAACACTGAGCTATAAAATAGTAAGTGTACAAAAATCAAAAGAAAAAAGACATTTTAAGCATCTAGGCAATAATTAAAGAATGCAAATTTTTTTCAAGATAGGACACACTGGGCCATAAAACAAGATCCAATGAAACAGACTACAAGAGATTTAAATTAGAACTCAATAACAATAAAATGTTTTTTAAATCCCATATTTGGTCATTTTAAAACACAATTCTAATAACTCATTTCAAAGAAAAAAATCACAAACTGAATAGTAATAAAACAAAACATATTAAAATTTGTGGGATATAGCTAAAGTAGTGCTTAAAGAGAAATTTATAGCTTTAATTGCCCATATCTGGAAGAAAAAAGATATGAATCAGTTATTTAAGCTTCCAATTTAAGAAACTAGACAAAGAAGAATTAAACCCAAACAAGTCAGGGAAAGAATAACAATGAGACCAGAAAACAATAAATAAGTTAGACAACAACACAGAAGTTGATTGTTTGAAAAGTTTTGAAAGTTAATAAACTTATTAGCAAGATTATACCGCAAAAGTTTATTAGAAAACACCAGCAAAAATCTTACCTTGGCCAATTCTTTAATTTTACCAAAACCAGGCTTCCAAGAGGGAGCTGTGAATAGACGATCCTATATCCATTTTGATGAAGCTGAGACTCTTCAGGAAAGTCTTCTTCAGAAACAGAGCACTTATTGTACTTTGAGTCAGTGTTCATGAAGCAGTACCATGGTTCATTGTGATTGACTTTGGCTTTATCCTCATTTGATAACAGTCTCCATTTCAAACAACTTTCATTCTCACATTGAACCCATACTTTGTTTATACATATGCTGTTTTCCACTGAGGAATTCATTGCCATATTACAATATTCTATTATCTTACTATCAAATTTTCCTTTTTCCGTAAGTGCATTTAACCTAGAAATAAGAGGAAAATAACAGAACAAATATTTGAGGGGATAAGGAGAGAAAGCTCAGGCCAAAATCTGAGAAGTAGCTCTTTTTTACCTTGTTTGTGCACCTTTTCCCTGTAAACATTGAACATGTTGTGTTTCCACCCACCAAGAAACAAAGGAAGAAAACAGAAGCCTCATTCTGGTCATAAAATGCTCCCAAATTAAAAATAAGGAAAGTATGATGAAGCAGAAGAGGGGTACAGGTTAACATTATATAATATCTATTCTACTACTACGCAGTGTACATCTAATAGATGCCCAGTACTTCTGCCACTGTTGTTGCTGTTGTTTAGCTGCTAAGTTGTGTCTGACTCCGCAGCCCCATGGACTGTAGCCTGCCAGGCTCCTCTGTCCATGGGATTTCCCAGGCAAGAATACAAGAGTGGGTTGCTATTTCCTTTTCCAGGGGATCTTCCTGACCTAGGGATTGAACCCGCATCTCCTGCATCGCAGGCAGATTGTTTACTGCTAAGCCACTATAATAAGAGGTAAATCTTACTCAGTGCTGACTCTGGGCCAGATACTATTCAATGCACATCACTTATATAGCCTTCCCAACAACCTCAGTGTGACCATTTTTAGAGAGGAAATGAAAGCTAAGAAAAGTCAAGTAATTTGTTTAAGGTCCCAGAGCTAGTACATGATAACGTTGGGATTTAAATTCAGGCAGTTCCCTAATTCTGCGATCTTATCCACTAGGTAATATTGCCTCTTGGGTATATGGTATATACAGTGTAGACTTAATCCCTTTCTTTTTCTAATTCTGAGGAAAACCAAAGGTAGCAAAATATTTCACCATAAGAAAATGTGAAATTTTTAAAAAATTAAAGGAATATTTTGCTTATGTAGTTTTGCCTTTTATTATTAATTCAAATGATTTTATTCACTATTAATTCAAGACATTAGAATTATATAAATCCATAACTGCAAGCTTTAATAATAAGTTATGTGTATATTAAAATGATTAATAATTAATAGAGGTAAAATATAAGTAAAACTAATTATTAGTAACTTACTTTGAAATATAAACCTATTTTTAGAAAAAGACTTGCATATACCATATTGATAAATTAGTAGAACACTAGTGGGGCTTCCTAGGTGGCTCAGTGGTAAAGAATCTGCTGCCAATGCAGGAGACACAAGAGATGCAAGAGACGGAGAATCAATCCTTGGGTTGGGAAGATCCCCTGGAGTAGGAAATGGTAACCTGCTCCAGTATTCTTGCTTGGAAAATTCCATGCACAGAGAACCCTGACAGGCTACAGTCTACGGGGTAGCAAAGAGTCACACGACTGAGCACACACACATAGAACACCACTATCCAAGTATCAGTTCAGTGGTTCAGTCATGTCAGACTCTTTGAGACCCCATGAACTGCAGCACGCCAGGCTTCTCTGTCCATCACCAACTCCCGGAGCTTGCTCAAACTCATATCCATTGAGTCAGTCATGCCATCCCACCATCTTATCCTCTGTCATCCACTTCTCCTCCTGCCTTCAATCTTTCCTAGCATCAGGATCTTTTCCAGTAAGTCAGTTCTTCACATCAGGTGGCCAAAGTATTGGAGTTTCAGCTTCAGCATCAGTCCTTCCAATGAATATTCAGAACTGATTTCCTTTAGGATTGACTGGTTTGATCTCCTTGCAGTCCAAGGGACTCTCAAGAGTCTCTTCCAATACCACAGTTCAAAAGCATCAATTCTTTGGCACTCAGCTTTCTTTATAGTCCAACTCTCTCATCCATACATGACTACTGGAAAAACCATAGTTTGACTACATGGACCTTTGTGGACAAAGTATGTCTCTGCTTTTTAATATGCTATCTAGGTTGGTCATAGCTTTTTCAAGGAGCAAGCGTCTTTTAATTTCACGGCTGCAGTCACCATCTGCAGTGATGCTGGAGTCGAAGAAAATAAAGTCTGTCATTGTTTCCATTGTTTCCCCATCTATTTGCTATGAAATGATGGAACCAGATGCCATGATTCAGTTTTTTGAATGCTGAGTTTTAAGCCAGATTTTTTTCACTCTCCTCTTTCACCTTTAATTAATAGCTGTACTTCTTTTCTTTCTTCTACTTTCTTTGGGCATTCTTTGTTGAGTTTATCTTTCTCTTTTTGAGTTGATGCCTCATTTTAAGTCTTTTTTTTTAACTTTATTAATTTTATTATATTTTGATAAGTACTCTTAGTATGAGATCTACCCTTTTAATAATTTTAAAAGTGCATAATAGAGTATTGCTGACTATGGGTAGAATGTTGTATAGCAGATCTCTATCATTTACTCATCTTTCTTACTTAAAACTTTATGCCTGCTAATTTAGAACTCCCTACTTCACCATTTTCCTCACTCGTGGAAATCATCCCACTCTTTGGTTATCTGAATTTGATTATTTTAGATATCACATATAAGTGGAATAACACAGTATTTGTCTTTCTATGACTGGCTTACTTTACTTAGCATAATGTCCCCCAGGTTAATCCATGTTGTTGCATGTTGCAGAACATTCTCCACATTTAAGGCTGAACAGCATTCCATTGTATGTTTTATTTGTCCATCGATTAACACTTAGGTTGTTTCCATATCTTGGCTACTATAAATAGTACTGCTATAAACATGTGAGTACTAATATGTCTTGGAGATCCTATTTCAGTTATCTTAGATAAATACCCAGAAGTGGGGTGACTGAATCATATGGTAGTTCTATTTTTAATTTTTTGAGGAGACCTCTAATAGTGCTATTGTTTTCCATAGCACTAGCAGCATTTTGTATTCCCACCTACAATGTACACGTTTCCAGTGTATTCACATCCTCATCAATCTCTATTATCTTTTCACTTTTTGATAACAGCCATCCTAACGGGGGTGAAGTGATAACTAATCATGATTTTGACTCGCATTTCCCTGATGATTAGTGATGTGAAGGATCTTTTCATATACCCAATGGCCATATAGCTTCTTTAGAAAAATGGCCCATTTTAAGATTTAAACGTTTTTATTGTGTCGGTTGTATCAGTTCCTTATATATTTTGGATATTAATCCCTTCTAAAATGTTTATAAATATTTCTCCCATTCTGTAGGCTATCTTTCATTTAACTAATTTTCTCTCTTGCTACAAAGAAACAGTTTAATTTAATGTAGTCCTACTTTATTTTTACTTTTCTTGCCTGTGCTTTTGGTGTCAGATCCAAAGAATCATTGATTAAATCAATCTCAAGAAACTTTTCCTCTAAGTTTCCTTCTAGGAGTTTTACGGGGTGGTCTTACATTTGTCTTTAATCCAAAAATAAATTTCAAGTTTATTTTTGTGTACAGTTTAAGGATCCAATTTCATTCTTTTGCATATGAACACCCAGTTTTCCAAGACAATTTAATGAAGGGACTATCTTTTCCCCATTCAGTACCTTCGTTTAAAATTGGTTGACCTCTATACATCTGGGTTTATTTCTGGGCTCTGTATTCTGTTCCACTGACTTGTGTCAGTTTTTAATGCTGATACCATACCCCTTTGATTACTACAATTTTGTAAAATAGTTTGAAACTAGGAAGTACAATGCCTTCAACTTTTCTCTTCTTGTTCAAGATTACTTAGCTATTTGGAGTTTTATATGGTTACATACAAATTTTAGATTTTTTTTTCTATTTCTGTGAAAATGCCAATGGAATTTTGATAGGGATTGAACTGAATCTGTAGATTGCTTTGGGTTGTATGGACATTTTAACAACATAAATTCTTCTAATCTATGAATACGGGATATCTTTCCACTTATTTTTGCCTTCTATTTCTTTCATCTAAGTTTTATAGTTTTCAGTTTATAAAACTTTCACCTGATTAACTTTATTACTAAGCATTTTTTGGAGACAACTATAAATTAGATTATTTTCATTTTTTTTTTCAGCTACTTTGTTGTCAGTGTATAGAAATGCAATTCATTTCTGTTGGTTGGTTTTGTATCTTACAACTTTCTTGAGTTCATGTATTAGTTTTAACAATTTTTTGGTGGAGTCCTCAGGGTTTCTATATATGAGATCATGTATTCTACAAACAGAGAAAATTATACTGCTTCCTTTCAGATATGGACACTTTTTACTTCTCTTTCTTGCCCAACTGTCCTGGCTAGAAACTCTAGTACCATGTTGAATAACATTGTGTAAGTGGGCACCCTGGTCTTGTTGCTGATTTAGATGAAAGCTTTAAGGTTTTCACTAGTGAGCCTGATGTTACCTGTGAGCTTGTTACATATGGTCATCATTTTATTGAAATATAATCCTTCTACATTCACTCTGTCAAGAGTTTTCATCATCAAAAGATCTTAACTTTTGTCAAATGCTTTCTCTCCATCTACTGAGATGACAATATGATTACATTTCCCTTCACTGTGGTGTATCATGTTTATTCATTTGAAAGTGTTAAACCATCCATACATCTTATGAAAAATTCTACTTGATCTTGGTGTGTGATACTTTTTATGTGCTCCTCAATTCTAATTGAGAATTTTTGCACATATGTTCATCAGGTATACTAGTCTGATGTTCTCTTTTCTAGTGCTGTTCTTTTATGATGTTAGTATCAAGTTAATGCTGGCTTTGTAAAATGTATTTGGAATTGTTATCTTCAATATCTTGAAAGAGATTGAGAAGGAATTCCCACTGATTACTCTCAAATTTTTGATAGAACTTACCAATAAAGTCACCTGGTTCTGAACTTTTCTCTGTTGGGAGAATTTTAAATTACTGATTCAATCACCTTACTTGTTATCTGTTCAAATCTATTTCTTTCTGATTCAGTCTAGGTAGGTTATATGCTTCTAGGAATTTATCCATTCTTCTAAATTATTCAACTTGTTAGCATCTAATTGTTCATTGTGGTCTCTTAGGATCCTTTGTGTTTCTGTGGCACC